CTTTAGGTTTAAACGGTCGTCTCTATCATTAGTTTCAAGATAGAATCTGACCTTATATTTTATTTGTTGTCACTTTTTAAAAACAAAAAGTTAATAATCGAGGTCACAATATAAAATGTTTGAAATTTTATTTGTAAACATGAATTATTTCTCGAAATAGTTTCCTAAATTTTTAATATATTTTTAAACGAATTTAATTATTTCTTTTATTTTAGGTAATAAACAATGCTAATAATTAATTATTAATAAGTAAAATAATTGACGTTTAGAATAAAAAGTAATTTAAATAAAAAAAAAAAGGACAGTGCCCAGGCTCGAACGCATGATCTTTGGACTGTGAGTCCAGCGCGTTCGTTGCGCGGCTAACGAAATGCTACAATTCAACTTTTAAATTTAAGGTAGATAACGTGCTCGCCTAATTTCAACCCTCACATTTTCGAAAACGGCTGCATATCTACGGCTAATATTGGAGGCGTAATCTTATATTTTCCTAATCTACCACCACACCAAAGCTCATTAAAAAACTCGTTTGGCAGTTAGGGTATTCTCCTTGTTAGTGCAAAGAGAGAGGATCTTTTCTTTTATCTCATTATTTTCGAAAACTATCAGTTTTATGCAAAAAATGTATAGGACATAAATGATATATTTTTACAAGAATTACAACTTTCATTTGAAATATTTTTTTATTACATGAATATTTATCAAAATAATGTCAAAAAAGTGATATTTTTTTCAATTTTTTGGAGTTTTGATCTTGAAAATGATCTAGTCGCAAATTTTCATTATTATATTCGTAATCAGCGCACAAAAATACAAAAAATAGTATAGTCTCAAAAAAATCGGAGGATTTACCTGTTCGGAACTTTATCCAAAGTTTCTATTTTTATCATTTCAAAAAATGATATTTCGTTTAAGAGTATAATATTTTAATGAAACAAATTTAAACAAGTACGAATATTAAATCTAAAAAAAGTATTTTCTCTGAAAAAACGGTATAAGAAGTTTAAGAAATATGTATTAAGACAGATTTTAATATTAATGACTGCCACTAACAAATACTTTTCTAAGTACTTTTCTAAGTACTTTTCTAAGTACTTTTCTAAGTACTTTTCTAAGTATTATTTGTTATGGTTGTTCTATTTTAAGTTTACGTGCGCGAGCTTACTTGCGTCCTCATGAGTAGAAAGAATAAGTGATCCCTCTAATGAGGAAAACGGGAGTGCGTATGGACGAGAAGGAGACGAGGAATCTCTCGCGAGCGGGATACAAAGAGAGTCCTATACGAACGTGTAAAGAATAAAGAACTGTTTTCGTTGTTTTGTCTGATAAGTTGAGTTGATACTTACATGAACTCATACACTATATGAATTGGCGACGAAGATGGGATATATCTGTTGAGGATGGGATATATCTATTGAGGATGATATATATCTGCTGAGTCTATACGTGTTGTAAAGACGATATTCGGTTCGCTCAATCATGGCAGAGGCTAGAGTACTAGCGACGTTTCATATCGAACCATTTGAGGCAACCACAAGCTGGCCACGTTGGTTGAGGAGATTAGAAGGTACGTTTGCACTTTTCAAGGTTCCAGCCGAAGATAAAGTGCCATACTTTTTACATTATATTGGGGCTACGGCATTTGAGGTTATATACAACAAATGTGCGCCGAAGGATCCTTACACGCAGGGTTACGATACACTAGTAGAAAAATTACAAGATTCTACGCTCCATCTCCGCTAGAAATTGCAGAAAATTTCCGTTTCCACCAACGACGTCAACAAGAAGGGAAATTATACTACAATATGTGGCCGCATTACAAAAATTAAGCATAACCTGCAATTTCGGGTCATACTTCCCTTAGAAAGTAGAAATATCATATTAAAAATCATTGATAATTACTTATTATCCAGTATTTTTAATATTAAAAATAAGTAATTATCAATGATTCTTAGTACGATATTTCTATAAGGGTTGAAGACGGCGTTACGTAACCACTTTGCCTTTGGCATGAAGAGTACGAGGATACAATCGAGACTTTTAAAAACCAAGAAATTAACGTTCGACAAGGCGGTACAACTAGCAACTACCAACGAGTATGAAGATGTCGGCAAAGGACACCATCAGTTACAAGGCTCAGTCGCACCAGTACAAGTGACTGACATGAAGAAAAATCAGAAACGTCAACCGCTCACACATCACTTAAAGAAGAAAATACCCGAGCGTCGACCTACATATGTTAATACAAAAAGCAACACCTCTGTCAACGCGTCACATAAACCTATGTATTGCGGTAAAGGACACTTAGCTACTCAATGCACTTTGAATCGAGACATTAGATGTCTAACTTGTGGAACTAGAGGTTATATCCAATCTGTCTGCTTTAAAAATCGGGGCCAAACCCATCAGATAGAGAAAATTTTACAGTTGGAACAAGTCGAGCACCGAGATAAATTTATTACACACTTACAGATAAATGGTAGAAACATACCTTTATAGAAATATCATACTAAGAATCGTTGATAATTATTATGCAGTATTTTTAATACTGAAAATAAGTAATTATCAATGATTCTTAGTATGATATTTCTATAAGGGTAGAATTTGAAGTGGACAGTGGAGCAGCTGTCACAATTGCAAACAAGGCTCATATGCTCAAACTGTTTCCGGATTCGACCATCTTTCCTACTGAGCTAAAATTAATTACTTATTGTAAAAATACGCTACAAGCGGAAGGTTTTATAGTAGTTAAGGTTAAGTACAAAAATTTACAACGAAAATTGAACATTATCTTACAAATATAGATAGAATACCATTATTAGGCTGGGAATAGTTACGATAGTTGCTCGATAATACAAGGTTGAAAGATTTCTTTTTAGATATATATTCGACTAATACGATATCTGTCAGTACTCAAGAGCAACTTAATATAATAATACGAAAGTACAAAGAGATACTAGAGCCAAATTTGAATCACATTAACGAAAGAGAAGCTCGATTAACTTTGAAAATCGGAGCACAACCAGTTTACGTAAAACATCGTACAGTACCATTCAAATTAATACCATTTATTGACAAAGAGTTACAAGATTTAGAGGCTGCTGGAATATTAATTAAAGTTAATATATCGGAATGGGCTACACCCATAGTGCCCGTTTTAAAGAAAGATAGCAAAATTAGAATCTGAGGGGACTACCCTTATAGAAATATCATACTAAGAATCATTGATAATTACTTATTTTCAGTATTAAAAATACTGGATAATAAGTAATTATCAATAATTCTTAGTATGATATTTCTATAAGGGTATAGCGTCACAATTAACCCGAACTTGATAGTAGATGATCATCCGTTACCTACGATAAATAAATTATTCGCTTCAATGGCTGGCGGAATTAAGTTTTCAAAAATTGACTTACGCCAGCTTATCTACATTTATCAGTAAAAAAAGAAGTTCAGCCATTACACTAAATACGCATCGGGGACTATACAAATCCACTAGACTAATGTACGGAGTAGCTTCAGCTCCGGCAATATGGCAACGAGAAATAGAATCCATTCTGCAAGATATTCCAAGTGTTACAGTTTTCTTGGATGACATAAAAATTACGGGGACAAACGATATGGAGCATTTACAGAGATTAGAAACAGTCTTTCAACGATTACATACGCATAACATTAAAATAAATTTAGAGAAAAGTAACTTCTTTACTGACAAAATAGAATACTGCGGATACATCATTGATCGTTACAGTATACATCAGGATGACAAGAAAATAGAAGCGATAGAGAAGATGCTCATTCTCACAAATATTTCTGAAGTAAGAGCTTTTATTGGGTTTGTGAACTATTATGGAAGATTCATTAAAAATCTTAGTTCAATCTTATTTCCATTGAATAAGTTGTTACACAAAGATACGTCTTTTTATTGGTCTAAAGCAGACCTCGGAATTTTTGTCATATTTCGGGCTGATTTCAGATGCGACGCCCACCGCTACTCTACTCTTACTCGAGCCTCAGCGGTCGAGCCGCCGAGTGCTTTGCCTCAAGAGCGTTATTGAGTAAGAAATACGTATGTAGTGCTTCTGTGTGCCAATCCGTTATTAAAATTTTTAC